CTAGGCAATTTCTTTTCGTTTACTTTTATATTCAGTGTCTTTCATATGTTTAAAATACTATGAAAGTGTTCTGGCTTATACTGAACGAGCAAATGAATAAGCCGGTAGTTGATCGCAGTTAGTACCTCATAGTCCTTCAGTGTTGTTTAGTCGTTGCATCATTGTAGAACTTTTCAGCACAGCAGTCTGTCAAGTTGAAAGAGACTTCCGTTGATTAGTAGTTTCCCTCTTTTAAATTTATTTGGGTTGTACACCGTAGCTAAGTTTGATGCAACTGCTGCCCCTTGTCCAAAGGATGGACATCATATTGCTTCACTGTGCCGCTTTGGAGAATTGGAGTCTGGGACATTCAGTCATTTACTGAGTTTTATTCAAATTGTCTTTCTCTGTTACATCGTAATTACAATTCGTTCAGCTGGGGAAGGATTTCACTTTCCATTGCCATAGTATGCTGTCCCACACCAATGTCGTACAAAGCCTGGGCCTGTTGCTTGATTTCTGGAGTGCGCGCTCTATTTTTGAGTGAAAAGGTAGTTCAAGAAGCATACCTGTTTTACGAATGCTTCCAGGAAGGAAGGCGAAGCAGCTACTCTTTGAACAGCCGACCAGCTGAAGACTCCGAGGATGGTCAAGAATGATCTGGCGCAGGTGCCTTGACGAGCTCTGCTTTAAACTCTAATTTATATTTGCGGATGCTCATACGCTGGCGCGCAGTTGGGAACAGTGGATACATTGTCTGACGTGTCTGCCTCTTTGACCGATAGGAAAAGCCATCGTCGAAACTGACTGCCTGACTGCCAAACGTAGAATAGTTCAATATTTGTCGCACGATCATGTGTGTGCCAATTGCGGTTTTTCTGGTTTTACAGTGATGGAAAATTTTATGGAATCATGCCTTGTTTTGGATCCTACACAACGATTATTAGTACCATCTGAATAAGTGTTCATACACCAGAGTATGTTAATAACTGTTTAACTCGTCTAGAACAACAAGCCCAACAGCGCAGATCGAATGGCTTGAGGTCATTTAAAGGTTTTCATGTATTTGAGCGCCTATGCTGCATCTCGTTTCATTATGCTGGACATCTAGAAACAGTGGTGGTGCAGTGTGCTTTGATATCTGACTCAGGATTTAAGCGCTTAATATTCCACCAGTTGGTGCAGACGTTACTCATGAAACGTGCATTCATTTCGTTTTGACTTCAGACCGTTTATGAGTGGAATAGTGTTCGTATGTTCTTTGTCGTTTTTCATTTCGAGGCCTTCGTCGATTATATGTCATCTGCTGTTCATAATTAACACCAAAATGAAGATTTGTTTAGATTTTGTTGTAGATTTCGGTTTTGCTTCAGTTGATTTTTGTTCTACAATGAAAGGTTGAATTTGACCAGTGTTTTTTAGAGAAGGGTTATTGTATGCGAGGTGACAATTGTCCTTATGACCATGGTCCGGATCCCGTCGTAGTGGAAGACTTGCCCCTTCCAAGTATGTTGTCAAGTAAACTTGAAAAAACAATTTCGTTATGCAGCATCGTTTATTAACGATCGTGATTCATTTTAGTTCCCAGTGCAAGTAGTCGGCCGATCAAACCGCCTGCCCCGAATTTTTCCGTACCGCCGCCTGGTTACATCCCGGTACATCCTCCACCTCCAGGCGTTGATTCAAACACTTTTCAGCCGGAAGCGTACAATCCAGAGGCGCCATCACTAACTTCACCTGCAACCGTACCGGCTGCAGTTCCGCCTCCTCCATACAGTCAGCCACCGCCTCCAATTTGGACTCGTCCACCTCCTTCTTTGATACCTTTCGGTCACGCTTTCCCTGGACTTCGACAGCCTGCCGTTAGGTCTCGCGAATTGATTACTTTGGCTGAAGGTCATCAGGTTGGCGGAACTGGTTTAGAAATAATGGATATACGCCAGACAGCCCTGATTAACAGGCCCATGAATGACGTCATTTGCCGAAAACGGTTGCCCACTGATCGTTTGGGCGGCGGTAGAACATTTTCGTCGTCTTATGACAGAAGCAACCGAACTCTTGAGATTAGACGCATCCCGCTGGTGCTCAATACGATCACAAAGTTGAACGAACATTTTTCACAGTTCGGCCAAATAACCAACATTCAGGTAAGACTCGGTTGATAAAGTTGTGGATCTTTTCAGTTACTGGCGAAGTTCGTTATTTTAAGGTTCGTTACGATGGCGATCCGGAAGCAGCCCTCATCACTTATGCCAACCGTGACATGGCTGTTGCCGCCTATCGCTCTACATCACCAATTTTGAACAATCGTTTCATAAAAGTATTTTGGCATCAGGGTGAAGGCGAGCAGCCATCGTCTGCAACCGATGGCGGCCACGGTGGCTTTATTCGTTCTTCCGTCAAAGACCGGCTTGGAACAAATGTTGTTGCTTCCTCTTCCACTGCTTCTTCATCTTCCTTAAAAATCGTCGACGCTGCTGCCGAACATCTGAACAAAAATGGACCATCGGTAACCTTTGATTTTGTCCGTTTCCAGCATGTCATATTTCTTTCTTAATTTAGTCGACTGTTGCGGTCGGTGGCACTTTAACGAAAACCACTTTGAGCAGTGCAGATTCAGTTAGGGCACTTAGCACGTCGAATGCAACGAACGAAGGCGAGTTTGAAAATGAACATATGAAAACAAGCAAATTGGTGCTTCGAAGGGAAGATCGATTTAAGGTTAGAACGATTTCCATAATCGACCTTCTGCGGCTTCCAGGCCACTTTGGATATGCAGTACCAGATGTTTCAGAGATATTCTGTTTTTCACTGGTTCTTTTCTATAAGTTAGGATAGTAACTGTTGATTGCGCAGTCAGTACTAATCTTTAATCGATTCCTTAACACGGGTTTTAAGTTTTATTACGGTGGTTAACAGTTTCGTTTCCATCGCGGACCTTTAACCACCTGTGTTTTTTGCATTCCTTGAGCTCGTGGTTGGCACGCAACCTTAGCCATTTTGATTGCACGGTTGTTAGATAGCTGTAGAATTTTCTGCGGTTTCAGGCTTGATCATCATAGCAGACGAAGCACTTCAGTTACTTTGCAACGCATTTGACGTTGATCTGAAGGATATCATTAAGCTGCTTAAGACTACAATTTTTGTTTGAATTGCAGTAAAATTCATACTCTCCCTGTTTACTGCTACAACAGTTAAAGAAACGGTTTCCAACTAACCATCAGGCAGAAAGGTCATGTGGAGCTGACTGGTTCACGCTTTCATAGCATAATGCTGTCATTTGTGGTTTTGAACTAAGTTGGCAGCTCTACTGAAGGCAACTTTTATGTTTTTCTCAATATATTATACCTTTGAAATGTTTTTTGGACAATTTCTGAAGCGATGTCATAACGAGTGCAAATTTTTCATAGGAAGCATTGAAGAAGAGTTGTCAGTTGCAGAAAGCAAAAGTTGATCTGATCGTTAAGCAAGTAAAGCAGCAGAAAATCTTGTTAAAAAAGCTGGAAGTATGCAAAAGTGCGAGCCAGAAGAAGAAGATCATCGAGGTTGATGCTATAATGTAAATAGAGAAAAACGCGTCTTCATCGATTTTGTTTAGACGATAAAGATGATCGAGAAGAGCATCGAAACCATGAAAGATGACATACACGCCGCCAAGATTCCACACGTCAGCGTCAAAACTAGGGAACAGGTATGCATTTTCTGAGGTGATTAATTCTGCCAAGAAAACCAGTGTGGCAAGTTTTGTTTATTAAATGGTTAACCACGACAAATGTCATCCACTTTTAAAAGGATGGCAATGTTGGTAGCTGAATTTTTCAGGTTTCGACAGTCCGTAAAAACCATGAAAAATGTTGTTTTTTATTTCTTCATGCCACGGATCAAATATTTTTGTTTTATTCTCTTGCCAAGAAGTATTTTTTTATCTCAGTTACACAGCATGATGAAAAGATTTCGTAAACATTGTTTTTGCAGTGAAATGGACGTTGCTTTCTTTTCGCCTAT